GGATGTAGTTAGATATTTCAAGATCCGTATTGCACTCATCCATATTACAATATATTAAAATACAGCCACTTTGTTTGAAAAATGTTACCAGCATGGAAAATACCATTAAAATCGGCTGATGCCTCTATATGAAGCTTATGTCAAAATGAGGACCTGTAGGTAATGGCGTAGATCAACATTTTCTTAGTCGTATACCAACTTCTCAAAGGCAGTGTAAATAAGTTAAACTTAGAATTTTATTTCTGCGATAAATATTTTTAAAATGTTCTTGTACTTTCATGTGATAATTAGAAACATTTTGAATTTCGACACTGAACCGCATATCCTGATGGGAAATCGTGAGAATTTTCTACATTTTTTTGGGACTCTATCGCCCTTCATTGTCATATGGTTTATAACTTTTTTTTTAGTATTTGCATCATCATCCTCGCCATGATTGTGGCGTACAGACGGACATGTGTGTAGGTATTTCATCATTTCCCATTAAAATTGTGTTTTTTTTCTTTTTTGGTTTTTAATTTTTTATTACCAATTCTATGGGGTTTGTGGCCTCTCTTGCAATTGCGTTGTCGTTGTTTTTAATTGTTACACCCAAACAGACAAAGAAACAAGTAGACAGAAATAACAAATACAACAAACTCCTGAGTTTATCAGTCGTGGTAGTTGGAGTTTTTAACCATTACCATTTTCCTGCTTTTGCCACGGTTGGTTGGTTGCAAACACGTGAAAATATTACCAGCAGCAGAACCATGGCCAAAATAACACCGACACCACCACCACCACCAGCAGCACCAACACCACAACCAACACTTTAACATTATGATAATTATCATTAAACAATAGTAACAGAGCCGAACAACAACAACAACAACAAGAACACATCAAATGGCTGTATTATTACTGCCAAGTATGAGTGGAAAATGCCACCGCTTCAGTTTATGAAGCCACCCATCTACCTTCTACCAGCTATCCTCCCCAACCACGCCACATGAACCCAAAATATGAACTCGCTCGGCAAAGAAGAGTGGGGTTGGAACAATAGGTCTTTCCCCCTGCAGAGCCCTATCTTTCGATCGCCTCTTTTTTGCTGTCATAATGTTGACACGCAACAGTTCTCTGTTTATCTCGCTGAAGTAATTCGTATGAAAACTCATTCATTAGGGAGTTTGTGAATTCTCTTGGTTTCCTTCCCTACTACCAATGACACCCGAAACTATTGGTACAAAATAAATAACTATTAAAAAATGGAAAGAGGAGTAAAATTGTTTTTCCATTGATAGACTATGAATAACTTGTTAGAGGTTCTTCTCTATTGGTGCGAGAACATTATCATCTTTTTAGTGCAATCTGCAATCAGATACATATCCTTCCCATAGTTATTTTGTAACACCTGTATAAATATAATAATAAATGAGTAATGTGATTGATTGACTGACTCATCATTGCCCAGGCGTATAGTTCGGATTGTGTACAATCTTTAAGGTTTCTATTTTAAAGATATTTAAACAATATGCAACATATTGGTATTTACTAAAAACATTTTAAATATTTCTATATAATAGGAGAAAAAAAAAATTATTTTCACAAAAGTTATTGATAAGTTTTAAGATAACATCCAATGGCGGCTATACGAATAGTATAGCAGAGATTAGTTGTTATCAAAAGGAAATTCTCAGATGGTCATACTTTGATCTTCTGCATTTTTCTTCAAATGACAGCGCCGTATCATTTATAAAATTATTAATCATCTTGATCTGATATCTTGAGTGTAATGTAGAAATGTCCTTGGCAGATTGTTAATTATCTTTATTTGTAGCCTTTTCAGATGAGTTTTTTGGCAGTCATATGGCATTTTGTATAACAGTAATTTATTTTTAAAATTTAATTTAGAGTTTCTATTCAGAACAGGATATAGGGATCTTCCACACCTTACCGCTTTGAGACAATTCGCTTTCAAATTTTCTTTACGAAATGGTAAGACACTGTTATTGGACGAGGTAAACCAGATTCAAAAAATTACTTAAACACAGCCTGAGCCCGGTTCCTGTCAGAATTATTTAAAATTAAATGCAATAAACTGTTCTGTTTTTAAAGTGTATTAAAGAGCGAGACATATGTATATGTAAAACCTGTATATTCAAATGTAAATAAAAAAGGTAAATACAATTTATTTGTCCGTCTACATTTAAAAGATTTTAAATCCAACCGATTTGTTTATGATTTAAGTTTTCCCATTGTGAAAGTATAAAATAACTAATAGATGTGTTTACTTGTTGAACCGTCATTGTTCTGTACACACGCAATGTCAGTTTGGAGCGTTGTATACAGGCTACAAAGGTTCAACAGTTTTGAAATTAAATACCACAATTTTGATTTCCATTTTACACACAATTTATAAAACATCACTGGGTGAGACAATATAAAAATATTTTTATTAAAAAAATTATTTACTTTATAATCAATTTTCTGTCAATAGAGGTAGTATCCATTCCGAACTCTCAATAGCAAATTTGATACCATTCCGGAGAAAGATGTTACAACACATCAAAATTTGTTCAAAAATATCACTAAAACAACCAAAATGCCTTAATCTTGCGGTACAGTTATGTGGGGGCTATATCAAAATGTGGAAATATTTGGCCCATTTTCAATTCCAAAAATTCTTCTGATCTCAAATACATTTCAGCAAACTTTTATCAACCTACTTCATTTCATTCAAAAGCTAGAGTGATTTCCACAGACGAATAGACAGACATATGGAGGGACATGGCTAAATCGACATAGAATCTTATGCTGATCAAGAATATATATATACTTGTTGGAGTCTAAAATGGCTATTTCGAGCTATTTTCGAGGAGTTAGAAAGGAAAGGGCATATAAGGCTGAGTCAAGCTCCTGTTTAAGAAAACTAGAGAAGAGAGAACACGAGTTATGGTTTGAATCAACCAAATTTCCTATTCTTTCTATGAGAAGCATGATCCATAAACTTTAAACTTAGTTCGACAATATTTTACCTCCCTAATGAGTGTAAATACGGAATATTTTTGTTACTTTGCCATTTATTTAAAAAAGTAAGTTAAAAATGTGTAACAACGCGTTAAGTTCGGCTGGTCGAACTCTTAATATCCTCCACCGTACGGTAAAAAAATCTTAAAAATTAAAAATAAATGAATACTTTTCGTTTCCATTTTTTGTCAGTGAAATCGGTTTGTAAAAGGCCTTAAAATGTCCTAAAGTCGGTTGCACCGGTTTCTTGCTAAGTTGTTGTTATCCTTTGCGAGTTTCAAATGCCACATTAAAAAACATATGTTAAAAATTTGGTTAAAATCGCCAAAATACCAAAATTTCCGGAGTTTCTGACTTATGAGTGATGCTCCTTTTCATATGTAATAATGACCCTATTCCAGCTGTGTTCTGCCTCAGAAGACAGAATCCATTAAAAACTTTACATACCGAATTTTTAACGAATACCCTAAAAAATGTGGCTAAGATCATCAAAATCATCGGGAAGTATAGAACGGGGAGGGGGAAGGAGAGGAGAGGCAACAAGAAAACATCGAATACCGAATATCGGGAGGTACCGCTATGTGAGGGCTGTACGAATAAACATACATATAATTAACCGCCGATCAAAAATACTTGATTTTATGATGAGGTGTATAGAGAAGGATATTTGGGAAAAGTTTATGGTTTGACCAAATTCTATCCGAATACAGAAAAGTTGCCCGACTCCGAATAGCACACTTGGTTTGACTCCTGGGGAGAATATCCCAGACAAAAAGCATGGGAACTGATGAGGATTGGTGGCTCTTTCCGAAATACCTAGGTTTCCCTGCCTACCCCCGGTAAACATTATCATTTTTTCACTAATGAACAAACGTTGATTTAAGGTTTCCCGAACAAAAATGCCAACACTGTTTTATTCACTAAAGTATTTGAAACCATTATTTAATTCCACTCTTTGATATATTCCATCCAGTATTTATGATTGAGAAGTGTTAAAATTTTGTCTGCTTTTTGCTATAGCCCCATATATTGTATATACGAGTTGGACATGTCGTGTACTTAGTTTAGTTAAGCTATTCGTTGCATTTCATTTGATTGCTGTTAAGGGCAATATAGTTATCAAGAACACAGTCAAATATGGACGGCTGAGTTTCCACTAATATAATTTCCATGTAGGTGTTACCTACAACCCAAAAGTTGGTAACAGTGTAATCGTGCGGATAGAAATGTTCCTCGATAACCTAAAATGTGTGGCACTGGATGACAGTCATTGAAGAAAGTTTTTTCGAGGCTTAAAGAAATTTATTGCACCACATTTTAAATTGTAGCCCATTCGAGGCTGTGTGTGATTCAGAAAACGATGAGAGCAAAACGGAAACAGGAAGTGTGGCAACATTAACAGCAGCAACATGTAACAACAAAATCCTAACAACAGCAGCAGCAGCAGCACCATTGCCAGTAAAAGCAATAATAAACGTTCTGCTGGAAGACTAAGAGGGAACGGCATCTTGGACAATGTTTTCTTGTTATGTTCTACTTCGTTTTGTATTTTTTCTTTACGGGTAAACTTTCTGAGAGCGAAAGATCACAGAATTTCCAAATTATATATCATCATCAAAGAGAGTGAGATGAAGAGAAAGTAGAATTCGTGCTGTGCAGAGTCAGAGTTTAACACATTAAATAGATTATATTTTCACATACACTCGCTCACACACGCACACACACACCAATTTTGTAAGAGCATACTCTCAGGTGTTTCGAACATACACCTGTGTTAATTGACCGTCATGCTCACTTAGAATCGAGACATTTTATATGTAAACTAGTAAGATGAAAAGAGTACACTATATTGTGGTGGCGTGCAAACAGGTGAGCAGAGCGAAATGATCCCTCATAATGGGAGTAACAAAAGGTTTTCCAACCCTGTTCGCTCTCACGGAAAAAGGTTACAAAAACCAAACGTCTTCCCTAGTATAGGACAAGTCATCAAACGTTCTTCAAACGTGTTGGACATATTCCATCCAGTGCGTCCGTCGCCTAATCAAAAGTGATCACCACACGAACGACACAGATAATATGAACGGCAACCGAAAGAAGATAAGAAAAGAAAATAAAAAACACAAACCAAATAACACAATAACAATAAGAACACACGCTAGTGCGCTGTTCAAGTGTGAACCGAAACTTGTGACTTAAGTACTTTTCCAGTGTGTCGCGCAAGTCTCAACTCTCAATTACCCGCTCCGATAGTTGAAGTCGTAAATTTGCTGCTGTTGGCATTTACAGGCGAGCGATGATGGTAGGGGCACAAACGAGAGCCAGTTACTTACTTTTCTGCAGCAATTGGCCCTCTTCGTTGCAGACACAGCTTTGCGTTTTGCCAGAGTCTCAGTTACCTGTCGTGTTGGCCACATTCGAAACGATCAATTCAGTTTACAAGCAACCAGTGAACAGAGCGGTTGTTGATTGTTCGTCACTGTCTGGTACAACCAACCAACCTACCAACCAGCCCATCGACCCAGCGATGGTGTTTGTTTAAACAGAAATTGAATTCAAGACCCAAGTTCAGCCCGTCGCCCGTCCCCCTCACAAAGGAAAGCAAAATAGAAAACCTTCACTAATGAAATAGCACAGAAACGCAACAACAGCAATAACTGCCAGCCACGAACCTTCCGAATAACAGCAACCCGTATCTGGTCTTGTTCAGATAAAAATTAACACAAAATATAAATCAAAAGTCAAGAACTATGAGTGTTCGTTCATTCGCTCGTTCGTTCACAAACATCGAGGTGTATGAGTGTGTCTCGGAGAACCTATTTATTTGCCCGCCAGACAACAATTAAAACGTGTCAATGAGATTGTCGAATTGCCGTTACGAATCACCAGTCACACATACGCACAGGCTGGATATGTGTATGGTACATCTGAGATTCTTCTGAGAAGTTTTAAAGCTCGAATAATATAAACGTACGTTTAGATTTAGCATACAAGTGCAAATTACCAAATGCAGCCATAGCACCCGTGGCGGGGGATCTGCAACGAATATTTAACTGCGAGCTGACGCATTGTCTGAGTGAGTTAAGTGTTGGTGGCGGCTATAAGAAAGGATAACTGTTCTCACAAGCCGGGAAGCAAAAGTCCTGATGTAAACAAGGACTTCATAGCGATCATATACTTTTTGACACCGTATTAAACCCTTTCCAAGGTAAGTACAAAATTATAATTTTATACGTACATATATATGCACCCTCGTTGGGATTTTTTGTAAATATCAAATTTTTGAATACTAGAAATTGTAGCCGGTTTCAAAATGTGTGGTTCGGTCAGTCTTCTTTTAGGTGGTATTGTTTTTTTTTTTTTGGTTGGTTTCAATCTCAGTTTCTGGCTGTTGTTCTCCTCGATATTTTTCGTTTTTAATTTTTGCAGAATCATTAAATATAATTTGTACAAAACAAATAGGAACATTTTTGGAGGGGATAAACATTTCATAGACCATTAGAGCAAAAACAACTACAACAACGAAGAAACACAAAAACGATTAAATCTAAGCCATTGTTTGTGACGGATTTCTCGTTTTCCTGTTCTTCAGAACCACCGAACATGGCATGACTTCTAATTACGGCAAACGTTGCTTAGGCTCGAATCCATATTTCACAACAACGAATTTCGATTTTTAAGGTCTTCAAAAATTGACATCATTAAGTTGAGTATTCTGTTTTAAGTGGAGGTAATGTTTTCTCTTCGGTTTTATGGAATGATAAATGGTTTGTTGTCTGTAAGTCAATGCCGCCTGGCTCACATCACACCAAACAGAACTCACTCACGAAAATGTTAGTCCGTGCAATGCCCGATGTCGATATGGAACCGAAGAACAACAAAAAACAAAAGTTTCCTTAGGCGGTAGCCTTTATAGAAATCTTTGAGACTTTTACCGAACTCTGTTATAGAAACTTACTTTGATGAATTTCAAGACAATTATTTTCCCGCCATATGCCCAAGACGATCGACCGACTGACCATTCATATGCTGGGGTATCAATTACAAAATTCTTTCAGAACTGGTTTCGTTTTTGGTTCGATTGCACGGCGAAGAGGCAATGGTGGAGGTAGCACAAGAAGAACTCTTCCTGAACAATTTCATGCACTACCATCGACTAAAAAAGACTCAGTCGGGTTGGGTAGAGCAAAACCGAAGCAGGCGGTGAAGGTACTAAGGAAACACATGCTCCTGGGGTATCATACACAAATAACAAAAACGATTTTTTTTGCTTTAGCTTCCTGCTACCCATCGCACAGGTAAAGCCACCACAAGAGACATACATATTTCAACTGTCACTCATGACCACAACGTTACTCCCGGTTACTGACTGAACGTCTGTGTTGCAAGCAAGCCCACAACACCAACAACAACATTTTCCTCTTACAAAGTTTGCATACCATCATTTATTTAGACGTTCTTGATCCATCACAGATTCTCAAGAAACTTTGCAAAATCGTGTGTATGGAGTGGGACATGTTACAAAATCTGCTTCACTTTCCTTTGACAAATATATTGATTTCCTTTTTATGGAATGTAAATAGGAGTATTACTGCGTCGAAAAAAATTTTTATGTACCGAGTGTTCCAGCGATTGCACTCTGATGTGGGGTGAGGTAAATGGATCAATTAAGAAATTATTAAAAAGAGATTGCATTTCACTTTTGTCTAGGAAAATTCTTAGTTTTCATTAAATTTTTATTTGCATTAAAATAGTTTCAAGAGGATGTATATCCCCAAATGTTCCATTCGTTATGTCTTAGCACTCAACACCCCTCCTCTCCCAAAAAAAGTATAAATAAGTCATTATATCCGATTTTCGTAGTTTTTTTTTTTTCTTAAAAAAATTGTCAAAAATCGAATTTAAAAGCTTTATTCCATTTTTTCCAAACCCGTGCTTGCACCGCCGTTAGCTTACTAGTAATAGGAAGGCTACGTAGTTTTTTGCTTACTTGTAATTCAGACCGCATGAAGTTGCCATTACTAGTAATGCTGAAAGTGGCATATACGCAAATGTCTAAACCCCACTAGAATTGATAACAGAAAACAATTTTCACTCAGCAATTTTCACACAATTTATTTAGTTTAAGGATGTTATTCATATCCATTACATATTCCATAAAATTTCTTGAGTTGGAGGTTGAAGTGAAAATCAAAAAATATTCACATTTTTGGTTTTACTCTTAGCGAGTACTTTATTTTCTTGGCCAAGTTAGTGGTACATTTTGGGAACTATCCACGGAAATTCAATATTGCTGCATTTGTAATAATCGATCATAGTTATCTTGTATTCTGTCGTCAGCTAGAGACAGAATTTTACAATTGTCTTTTTATAGAGTTCCCAATGAGTTTTTCCCATAAAAACGGAAATTGTCTACAGAATATAATGATATCCTTATTTATCTCCTATTTCTCCAATAATCTAAAAACAAGTCAACTCGTTTTCGATCAGCGAGAATATCCATCCGGATAACTCTTGATTACTCGAATCGTTGTCCCTATGCCTTTGTATGTATTTTCATCAAATGTAACAAAAAAGAAACTACATTTGATAAAGCGTTAAATTTCTCAGACCTAATTATTTGTGAAGGGGATCGCTTGGAATGGTCCCCTACCACAAACTTAATTCATTCGCCATAGGTGGCATGTTGATGAGCTGGCTGGGCCATTTTTCTGTTGATTGAAGTTTTTGGCCAATCGGTCAATGGTCCATCGACTAAGCATGTCTAATTGCATTAATAGCAAGCCTAGATAATTTTTACCCAGCAGAGCAGAACAAGAAAAAAAAAACCAACAAAATCACACGAAAGCCAAACGAACAAACAAATGCGAGCCACCACTCGGCGTCTCGGGAGGCAACTGCAGCCCCAGCAAGTGTTGCCGTGTGAATTTTTTACTAGCCACAAGACACAAATGGGAAAAACTGTTGCAGTTGCATAAGAAAAAGAGCCAGAGTGAGTGAGCGAGCGAGCGAATGAGAAAAACAAAGAATTCTAAAACCTTAATTACCTTTGAGGAGTGGAATGGAGTTGTGTGATGTTGGCCAGATTGTCTTTTGCAGTTGTTTTGCTTTCGGTAATTTCCCAACTATTTGTTTAAGGTTCTCATGGCTTAGCGCTGGCCCCTCGCATCCCTTCGGGTCGGTTCCCTGTTGTGGGGATGGGATCTTCTGCGGTTTCCATTGTTAGTGGCAACGGAAGCAGAAGCGGCTGCCAGCAAGTGTCTCGAGTTTATGGCGGCTGCGCGGCCACAACAGAAGTTTGCTGATGTTAGTTCTTGGAAACTGAAACCACCGAATGTTGTCAGTTTTGTATTGTAAGTCTGAGCTGAAGCATTTTGATAGCATTTTTGACAACGGCTAAGAACAACTACAATAACAACAACAGAGTAACGACAAGTCAGCACAATTGCAAGACAACCATTTGAAAGCAGATTCCAAAGAAATTGTAAATTAACTTGGAGGATGGGGGGGGGGGGGGGGTATCTGTGGCTTGTGGAAACATAGCCCAAAAGTTGAGTGCTCTTTGCTTCGTGTTTGATATGTTTAGCAGATTTTTAGGTAGAATTTTGCTACCAGTTTCCTTCCTGCCAGCTACATACCAACACATAGACATGTCGCCACACCAACACACATACCTACATACATTCGCATGTAAAATATTTGGTGTCGTCCAATTCATACGCGGACAATGCGTATGAATTGTTGGCTAGCTGGTTCACCGGCCCATCGTTTTTGCCATTTATGGTATTCATTCATACTACCGCCGCTTGAGACAACAACAAAATATTCATTCATGATCCTTTTGTATATGTTCTCTCGCTTTGCAGTAAGACCGAGCCAACAAAAAACAAAAGGAAAATGCATTCAAAATGAATTGTCACAGCTATTGACGAGGCTCATACGCTGTGTGTGCGGGGCCTGGCCGCCGTCCATCTGTCCACACTCGACGCCAGGCTCTTCTTTAGCCTCTTCCCGTTTACGCACACTCAGTTCAGCGCGAACATGACATACGCATGTGTCAGGTTACGACCAATGCTGACTAAACTCATTACAAATGCGAACATTTAAAAATCATTAAGCCAGATGAGCGCGGTAGGAGCGTGTGGTCCGACTGCAATACAGCTCTATATTCAGAGACAAAAACAAAAGCCACAACAACTGCAACTGGCAACACAGGTGTACATTGTGCAAAATCCACTGGCGAAAGGCCATGTTCGGATGCTGTAGACACAGTGGTATCATCTGGTTGTGGAATGGGCGTTTACCAAATTTTGAATCTGCTGAAATGGTTAGATTGCAGGTGGCATTCAGTTTTATAATATGAAACTAATAAAACAAAAAATAATTAGGATTTTAATTAAAAGTGTATCCATAGTTGGGAATATAATTGGACAACCTGCTGTTAAAGTGGAAAAAGTGTAAACGAACCATTGCAAACTTAAACAAATTAGGATGCTAATATACAGCCTTGGATCTTGAACTTTGGCTGGTCCGTCGGACATGATTGGAATATGCAAAACTCCCAAAAGCTATACACTCTTCCACTGTGTTGTATTTCCAGTGCTGTGGATCATTGTTTCATTTCAAGCTGAATCGCAGGGACAGAGGATGTGGGCAAAAGCGAATGTCTTAGGGAATCAAAGGAAACACAGTTGTTCAACCATTGACTTAATATGATCAGTAGCTTTGTTCTGGCGATAAGAAACGCCATGGGTTTTAATACCGGTTTTGCTATTGTTTTTTCACTTTGCACTGTGACGTCGCCGGCTATGACGGAGACGATGGTGATGATGATGTAGCCGCCGTCGTGGTCGTCTTCTTCCTCTGTGGCAACCTTTAAAGGAATCACTGAGGAACAACGCTTAGCGTTATTAAGCGAGTGTCTCCTATGGATTGTGTATGGTGTGATCGTCATTTTGCGATATTGATTATGTTTGGGCAAGCCAGCAAGTCAACAAGTATGTGGTCAGCTACATTCTCGAGTTGTCCTGAACTTCTGGTGCCGATGACGGCGGTGCATTCTCTCTGGGCTGTTGGATTGTGGCGTGGTGTTTTTTTTTTGTTTTTAGTTTCTGTATTTGGTCATTTACTTCCTTTGTCATTTTGTGCAAGAATTGATAAAAATGAAGATAGCTTGGGGAATATATGGACATGAGGCTCAGCAGGAAA